CTCTCCTAAAACTCACTTTATATGAGTTCACGGTTGGGAGGCCATATTGCCCAGGATTTTACGGCCGTAAACTCATGGGAGGAGTGTTTTGGGATGATTTCAAGTCCCATGTGCATCTAGAATTGGTTTTAAGCAATTATCTAAGGCTATAGGGTGTTTAGGTTCCCAAGGGTGCACTCCCTTGAATTTTACGGTCCAAATGACCACTCCTTGGGAGTTTACGGCTGTAAGCTCTATGGCTTGGCCGTGAACTCTCATGCACCCTCTAAACTTTGATTTGAAGCCTTTGATTCAACCCTAGGATTTTCTAATGAAGGTATATGGCCATTTAGGGGACAAAAACTATCATTTGACATGGTTTGGGGGTGTTTACAGTCTAAGCATGTGCTTGGTCCATAAACTCGTTTTGCCCCTCATTTCTTTGTGTTTAATTTTTCCAAACCCGAAATAGCAAGCCCCTAAGCCATATCTTAAGCCTAAATGTGATTTGGAAGTGATTCTGAGGCTTGATTTGCATATTTCGAGGAGTTTACGGCCTAAGAATGCTATTGGGCCGTAAATCCTCTTTCAAGACCCTAAACTTGTTGATTTGAGGTTCAAACACTTCTAGGCTTAATCCTAAGTTGGTTTCCAAGCCTAAGGGAGGGAGTTTTGGGCATTTTGGCACCATTTAAGGCGTTTACGGCCTAAGGAGGTTCTTAGGCCGTGAACTCCTTCTAATTTGCTTTCTTGGGTGATTTTTGGGTTTAAACAACACTAAACAATGTCTAAAACAAGTTAGGGTAGAAGATCTTACGTTTTGGAGGCGGAAACTCGCGGATTTGAGTCGGAAACGAGCTTTTATGAGAGAGAGAGAGTATAGAGAGAGGGTGAAAAAGGTGGAAATGAAGTTTACTCTCCCTTATATAGGGGTTGGAGTTGGGGCTCAGTGGAAATCTACCCAATACTGCCGTTAAACGTGGCTTTTTGGTCGCACCCGATTTAGTGGTTGTATTTTGACTTGGTTGAAACTAAAATTTTTCAAAGGAAAATTTTGGGGTGTTTCTAACTTGTTTCAACCCTTACCAAGTCATTATAATAGTCCCCATATAATTAACCTCTTCCAAAAGGTTAACGGACAGTTAAATAAAACGAAACTTTTTTAACGGAAAAAGGTTAAAACTGACGGAATAGATTTCGGGTTGTCACAGGAGGTATGGCCGAATTTGATTTCCAAGGCATTGTTTATGTACTGAATATATTAAACAAATGGATATCATCTATAATGTCTTAGATATGGTCGAACACTCTTAAAATAATCAAGGAATGACCAAATTTCACTCCTTGAAAAGAGAAATCGGTCCTTAATTGCATAAAATGTAGAAATCGGTCCTAATATCTTTATATATGGAGAATTCGGTTTTGTAGTGGCCCTATATATGGTGTGTTCAGTCTCAACTAGGCCCAAAACACCTAGATTAATGTGTTTTCAGTCATGAAGTGTTCATGGCCGAACACTCCTTTGATCCACCATTTAGTTTCATACTTTGGTCATTTTTGTTCACTCATGACATATAAACTTGTGTTGCATATTTCTTTCAAGTTTTTTGTTTGTAATTGCATTCAAAATAGATCCATTTTATCTTAACATAATCAATTTCAATAAAAATAGATGGAGAGAGTGTTGGTGCATACATATAACCTTAAGTCAAAATTGCTAGTTGTGACATCATCCCTCTGTTAGAGGGAATTTCATCTTGAAATTGATTCGAGAGTAGTCACTGAGAACTAGAGGAAAAATGGGGATACTTCTACATCAACTGGTGTTTACTTTCCTATGTAAACTCTGGTCCGTGTTTGGCGTTCCATTGAACCTTCACAATAGGAATACAACTTTGTTTAGTTCGCTTCACTTCCCTGTCCATTATCTCTACTGGCTATTCAACAAAATGAAGGTTCTCATTAATCTCGATCTCATTAAGGGGAATAACGAGAGTTTCATCTGATAGGCACTTCTTCAGGTTTGATACATTGAAGACAGGGTATACATTGTAGAGTTCGAGTTATAAGTGTACCTTGTAGGCCACCAGACCTATCCTAGAAATGATCTTGAATGGTCTGATGTATCGTGGATTCAACTTTCCCCGCTTAGCAAATTGGATCATCCCTTTCCAGGGAGAGACCTTGAGTAATATGCGATCACTGGCCTGAAATTCCAGAGGCTTTCTCCTTTTGTCGACATAGCTTTTATGTTGATCCCTGGATGCCTTGAGACATTCCCAAATCTGAACGAACTTCTCAGTGATTTCCCTGATGATTTCCAGTCTGGTTAGAGTGTTGTCGGGTACCAATCCCCTGGCCAGTTGAGTGTCTCCTACTTCTGCCCATACACGGGTGATCTGCATTTTTTTCCATAAAGGGATTCAAAGTCAGCAACCTCAATGCTCATGTGATAAGTATTATTGTATGACAATTCAATGAGTGGTAAATGAGTATCCCATGCTTTGTCGAAATCCATCACACATGACCTGAGCCTATCTTCCACTTTAACCTTAGCATGAGTGAGACATTTTCCTAGAAAAAAGGCAATCTCTGCTTTCATGCTCGGCCACCAATAATATCGTTTGATCTTCGGGTACATTTTATCGGGACCTGGATGGATGGAATATCGCGTTTTGTGCGCTTTTATTCATGACTACATCCATGATTCCTCCAAATCTTAGGATCCAGATCCAACTTATGTAATAACAATCTTCATCTTTTTGACTTCGAGATTTCTATCCATTCAACGCAGTGCTTCCTTCACGACATTCTCCGACTTCGATGCCTCCAAAGCCTGCCGTAGGTGTTGACCGTGTTTGTTCTTGTTCCAAGAGCAGATGACTACGTTATCAATGACAACAATTACAATTTTGACTAGGAATGGGCGGAAAACTTGGTTCATGTGGTCCATGAATGTTGCAGGGGCATTCGTTAGAATGTAGGGCATAACAACGAGTTTGAAACAGCCATATCGAGTTTGGAAAGTAGTTTTGGGGGATATCTTCTTCTCGGACTCGGAGTTGATGATAACCGGATCATAGATCTATTTTAGAGAAATAACTAGCTCCTTCAAGCTAGTCAAAGAGATCATCAATTTGTGGAAGTGGGTATCGGTTTTTGATGGTGAGTTTGTTCAACTCACGATAGTCGATGCACAATTTGAAGGATTTGTCCTTCATCTTGATAAACAAGACCGGAGCTCTCCGTGGTGAGAAGCTTGGCCTGATGAATCATTTGTTCAGAAGTTCTCTTAATTGGTTGAATAACTCCAGCATTTCGGCGGGAACTAACCTGCATGGTGATTTGGCAATTGATGTGGCTCCTGGAATTAGTTCGATTCAAAATTCAACCTGCCTTTCTGGGGGGGGGGGGGGTATTCCTGGAAGGTCTTCAGGAAACACATTTAGAAAGTTGCATACCACTGTAATACCCTTCATGTTTATCTCTTCTTTTGACTTATCCAGGACGTGAGCGAGGAAGGCATAATTTTTCTTATGCAGGTATTTGTGTGCCTTAATTCACGAGATAAGATGGAGATTGGCCTCAGGTTTACCACCATAGATTATTAGGGTTTCATGGTTAGGGAGGTGAAGGAGAATGGCCTTCTCGTGGCACATAATGTTGACATGGTGGGGGCTTAACCAATCCATTCCTTTAACCACGTCAAAGTTCCTAATATCTACTAGCATCAAGTTGATTAGCAATAAATGATTATTTAACGTGAGAGTGCACCCTAGGCATATGTCTTTTGTGAATCTTAATTTTTCTTGATAACGATTTGGTAAAACTTTGAGGCTCAAATATTGTTGTTTGAGAATGTACCAAAAATTCTGGTAGGGTTCCTTTTTGTTTTCTTTAGTTCCAGTTGTTAAATTCCTCCCACTTTCCCGTCATTAGTCTCTGTTGGATAACTCTTTGTGAAATGTCTTATCTTACTGCATTTGTAGCATATATGTTTTATTCCAACTATAGGGGTTAGATTGATGGGTTGAGTCGGAGTCCTACAGTAATGGGTAGTATGCCCTTTCTTGTTGTACCTATTGCAATGTAACTCCCGGCAAGCTCCATTATGATGGAAGATGCACTTGTTGCATTTTGGAAGGTTTCCAACATATAGTCCTGCTGGTGTTGATGTGGTAGGTGTCATGGCATCATGGTCAGCAACCGTATGTTGTTTCTTCAAGGGCCTTTCAGTTGGATGACCCTTTATCTTAATCCTAAACTTTCACTTCCTGCTCTTAAGTTTGTGGTTTGGAGTGCCTTGGTAAGTTATCACTTGTTGGTTTCCGTGGTTGTTATTACGGTAGGAATTGTTGATATTGTTTCCATCTATGTTGGTGTTGTTTGCGTTGAGTTGCATCATGACAGCGGTTACAACAGCTATTACGGTGGCTTGGAATGTAGCGGAATCTATTTGTAGGATTGATGTCTTACTGGGGTGTTGGTTATTTCAGTGGGATGACATTTTTTGTTGCACGATGATAAGCAAGCTCGTAAGTAACGACAGTCATTTCCCATTTTTGTTGTATGATTCTCACTGTCCTAAGCTACATCCATAAGATGTATTTATGGTGATAAGTAGTAGTAGATTCTACACGAATGCTAAGTCTATCCATATAGATTATTTTTCTTTCAGGATGCTTGAGTATCTAGCAATTTCGGTCGTTAGTTTGTGCAAAGTATTGAACTCATATAAAATTGTGAAATGATAAGTAGTACTCATAGCAGATAACAACATTGCGAATACGACACACATTTGATTCGTTACTTGGTAAAGGTTTAGTATATGATACAATTGTCAAACGACATAACACCCCCCCTTCTCAAGTACGGTGATCACTTAATTGAGGGGCTAACCCTACATACAATAGTAATTGAAAAGAGAGTCCTATCAATAGTGATGGTGATACTCAAATGTCGAACTGGCACACCAAATGTTTAGCCAATTCGTTCGCCTGTTGAGTGATCATATCTTCCCTCTATCTTACTCGAATGGCCCTAGATTCGCAAAGAGTTGTTGCTTGAGGTTGGCTACTTATTTTTTTGAGAGAGCGTATACATTCAGTAGCGCTTTCCTGCACTGTGTGCTGGTCTGGTGGGGTTTTCGAATGGTGGGGTTCACTAGGGGTTTCCTTCATGTCTTCTCCTTTATATGACTCTTCCTCAGATTCACCATTCTCATAGTCCATTACCATATATTCTTTGGGTCTCGCTTCTGCATTCTCTTCTTGAACCATTTCTGGCTCTTCTTCAACCCATCTATTGGCCACTAAGGCCTGATAATAGAGGTCACCTTGCTGGTTCTCGGCCATGATTTCTGTGCGGGAAGTGGATGTGTGAGAAGCATGTAGAAAGTGTATGGCGAATTTGATATGTTATCTCCTATGGTATTTTAATTTTTTATGTTTGGTTCAACAATCCTTTGGGTATTAGGTTGACAAGTTTTAGATTCATTGTCCATCACGATCACTCCCAAACACATGTTGGTTTAATTTTGAATAAATATAGTTGATCAGACTATATTTATCCCTAATACGACTACATAACTGTCTGGGTTTAACCACAATGTCCAAATCCTCCAAAGACACCTACTGTTTCTTGTTGTGATAATATCCTAAAACGCACACATAGGTATGGATTTTATTTTTGTTCATAGTATTTTAGTCCCAATATATTTATATTTATATATCTTTTATGGTTAGATAAGTCCATTCATTATAAACAATGCTTTGATACAAATCTATCACACCCTCAGACCAGAATTGCGGAAACGTGCGGAGGCAGATGACGTCATTGTATAGTATTGTCACAATTGTATATAAATAAAACACAACAATCCACACGTCATACATTGAAATACCAGCTTACATTGTTTTACGTAGTGTATTTGTTCACATAGGACAATGAAAGTGACATTAGTAATAAATTTCCAAAATGCAGCAAAATATGTAGTAATCCAAGGCTCTATACCTGCTTACTGTGTTCTTGAGAATACAAGCAATTTTGAAAAGCGTCAACATATAAAATGTTGGTGAGTTCATAAGTGAATTTGTAGGAAAACTTTGTATCACTTTGTAAACACCAGAAAATCTGATATCTTCTATAAGAAAAATGGTTTGTAAGTTTTGATTTCAAATCTTGTATTATAACATGTGTGTTTTGTTTCCGACAATGTATGAAAAAAGTTTCCAGAAAATCCTATATTTTCTGCTATTTAAAAAAAATTGTAATGTGTACTAAGCTGTTTCCAGAAAACCCGATGCTTTACGTTGATAAAAACGTTGAAGTCTTAAAACCCATAAGACTCGAGAAATAAAGTAGGTGTATTGCTTGGCATAATGTATTAAAAGTGTAGTATGTGTATTCTTTTTAGATTTATCGTTGTTATTCTCTCTGTGAGCCGGTATAACCATACATGATAATGACTGTTCGCCTGTCTTGACGTTTTTAGGCGTCGAACTATTCCAGGTAAGGTTTGTCACCCTAGACTAGCCTAGTCTAGCTGTAGTGAATAACTCAGGTGTGGGGGAGTCACCTCCGTATAGATCTATACACAAACTCTCGCTCTCACTTCAGGGAGACTCTGGTTATAACTACAAGCTACGGTTGTACACTCAATAGGTACCAAACATAATGTCTTCACGAGATCCTTAACTCAACTTACACGAATATTAAATTGCACAATGTATATCGTTTTATGTGTATGTTTTTAGTTTGTTAGACTCAACAAGCAGGTAAATGGGCCACAAGTCCCAAAAAAATTTTATGAGTGTATTTGGTCCAATTAGGGTAAAATGTTGTAAAAAGCCCATTTGAAAGTAAAAATGGACATTTTAGTCCAATTTGTGCTAAAATGACAAGCTGGGCTCATTTTTTTTTAATAAAAATGACATTCTTGGCCCATTCTAATGAAATCTCTTAAACTTGGTCCATTTTATCAAAAATGACCATTTTAGTTCAAAAATATCTAAAATAGCATAAAAGACCCATTTTATTCAAAAATGATCATTTTATCCTGTTTTTAACTTATTTGAAAAATATGGTCCTTTATTGTAACTTCTTTTAGTTTCATAATGACTTGCAAACATGTTTAACATGTCCAACTATTTTATGATGCTATATAATGTAACTTATTTTGTAATCTCTTCAAAACATGATGAAATCTCGAGTTCATGAAGGTTTATCATAAGTTTATAGCATTTTACACACAATAACATGAAAATATACACATGCAAGCATAAATACCAATATCAAACACAAAACAAATCTTGTATTCCCTCCCTAAAAGTAGTAAAAACACGAAAATGAGGGAGTATTAAACTCACCTTGGGTGTTTTTTGTGGAAGATTTGAAGTGTGGAGTAGAGTTTGTAAGCCAAAACCCTAAGGTGTTGTTTGTTTTAGAAGTGGTTAAATGTATTTTGTCTTTTTCCAAGTTTGCGGAAGAAGACGTGCACTTGCGAAACGTCTACCTGCCAGAAGGGAAAAGTGCTCAAAAAGTACTTTTGTAGAAAAACAAACGAGGCCTAAGATTTTCACTTGAAGTTCACTTGAAATTTCTAATCACCTTAAGGAAAGTTATACACACGAAATTTTTGTGTGTAAATGGGATAAAATGAACACAATAAGTGTAAGAACACAAAGAGTCGGTAGAAGTGCTTAACAAGAAGTGAATATTACTTAGAAGATGAAGTTATTTCAAATACTAAACCCTTGTTCTTGAGAGAGTTTGAGAATAGATACAATATCAGTGGAGAAAAATAAGAGAAAGGACGTGGAGTGTAATGAACTGAATGATGAATGAGTCTCCAAATTCGTAGGTTTTAAAATATGGAAGTGGCAAGGATACATGCTGTGTAATTTGACTTTTTTCATGGAAATTCGATGGATTATAAGGAGGTATGACCGAATATGGTTTCCAAGGCACTGTTTATGTACTGCATATATTAAACAAATGGATATCATCTATAATGTCCTAGATATGGCTGAACACTCTTAAAATAATCTAGGCATGAACGAATTTCACTCCTTGAAAAGAGAAATCGGTCCTTAATTGCATATAAAAGGAATAATCTATCCTAATATCTTTATATATGGAGAATTCGGTTTTGTATTGGGCCTCTATATAGTGTGTTCGGTCTAAACTAGGCCCAACACACCTAGATTAATGTGTGTTCGATCATGAAGTGTTCATGGCCGAACACTCCTTTGTTCCACCATTTAATTTCATACTTTGGTCATTTTTGGTCCCTCGTGACATATAAACTCGTGTTGCATGTTTCTTTCAAGTGTTTTGTTTTTAATGGTATTCAAAATTAATCCATTTTATCTTAATATAGTCTATTTCAATAAAAATACATGGAGAGAGTGTTGGTGCATACATATAACCTTAAGTCAAAATTGCTAGTTGTAACAAATATCACGAAAGATAGAACATGGAAGTATTAGAGATGCTTATCAATTGACATTGTAAAGATCAAGAATTAATTTTCTTACTAAAAACTCACTCCTTGCCTTGAGGTTTCTTAAAGGTTCTTTCCTTATTTGGCAATATAAAAATATTTAGACCTAAACCTATGTTTTCTTCATCAAAAACTATACATAAAGAATATTCTAGACTGATCAATAAATCAAAATAATAACTACATTTATCATATGAAATAGATAACATACCATTGTTTACTTGGTTAAAGTAACCATGTTCTTCAAGAATAGGGATGGATATGTAAACACTAGCACAAAACAAGCTACTTGCCCTCAAAACCATCCTAGAAAACTTTAGACTATATACCACCACATGAATGAAGTACCAAAGAGTGTTTGTGATGAAACACACAATAAGCTCTTCTTTTTATTTTGAACGAGTGACTAAGCAGGTAATAGAACTCGGAATAAACGGTCGACATAGGGTAGGAAGGTGTCGTCGGGGTAGGACGGTGGTGTCGTCATTGGTGTTGACTGTGTAGCAAATCCGGTAAAAGGTGATGATAGATGCAATCGCGTATGAGAAAAAAAATCGTGTTCCAAGGTTTTTTTTAGAAGATTGATGCAATATAGAAAAAGAGAGAATTAGTGTATTAGGTCTAACCTTTTTTTTCACATAAAGAGTGAAATAAAACATTTAATTTTTGGGAAAAAGAAAAGAGACATTGAAACTTTTTAGATCACAAAAATATTGAACTCCCTCAAATTACTAGTTTCACTTTTAATATTATCATCATAAAACACTTATAGTCAGACACATACACATCCACCCATATATATATATATATATATATATATATATATATATATATATATATATATATATATATATATATATATATATATATATATATGGTTAGGTTCATGTGAGACGACCTAATTTTGTGAGAACGTGAGACGCATTTTTTTATTTATTTTTTATTTTTTTAAATTTTTTTTAGTTAATTGAAGTTCCGAAAATAATATTTAAAAAAAGAATTTTTTTGATTTTTCTATTTATTTTGCATTTTAAAATTATTTTTACAATATGTACAATGTAATATTCTATTTAGAATATTTCACGTATTTTTCAAAAAAAAATAGAATTTTTTTTATTTTTTTTATTTTTTATTTAATTCAAGTTCCGAAAATAATATTTAAAAAAAGAATTTTTTGATTTTTCCATTATTTTGCATTTTAAAATTATTTTTTAGAAAATGTCAGTGTAATATTCTATTTAGAATATTTCACGTATGTTAAAAAAAACGGATTTATTTTTTAATTTTTTTTACTTAATTTAAGTTCCGAAAATAATATTTAAAAAAAGAATTTTTGGATTTTTCCATTTATTTTGCATTTAAAAATTATTTTTAAATTTGATCTCACGGTTTCACAAAATTAGAATGGTCTCAAATGAACCTGAACATATATATATATATATATATATATATATATATATATATATATATATATATATATATAAAATTTTATTTTAATGTCACTATTTTTACTTTTATATACACATAAAAAGTATAATATTATTATAAAATACTGTCTTTTTTTAAATATCATAATAAAGTACTTATAGTCATTTGTTGTTATTCTTTTATATTCAAAAATCAAATCTAGTCGATCGTTCCTAATTTTCGCATGTCAAATAAGGTTAATGTCCTAACACTAACGGATAATAGATTTCCTGTTGGATAAGGTGTCTAAGTCCATAACTATTTCTGGTATGTACTTGACCCGACCCGGCATGGTCCATTTGGGTTGCATGGCACCATGCAATTGGATAGACTAAATGAGAGAAATAACACTTGGAGATTATTAATATATTGTAAGTTCTAATA